AGAGCTAAGTGCAAAATCATTACAGAAATGAGTGGAGCTAACAGTGGCAGAGTTTATTTAAAGCCATCTATGTGTGATGCAGTGTGCTTGCAGTGATACTGTTCCTTTTTGATTGTCCATAACATGATCTTTCATGTTTAGTCAATAGTCTGACATACTAGGAAAGTCAATTCACCTAATGTCATTTTCTTGGTGACATTGTTAATTTGAATAATTTGGACTGATAAGAGGGCATACCCATTTTATCCCTAATAATGTGCTGCAGTTACAGATGGCTTGTAAAGTGAATCTTTAACAATTTTGCAAACAAAATAGAAGTAATTGTTATATAAACAATTTCATTTTTACATTTTGGCACAAGTACTATTCCTCGAGTGACATTTAGAATTTTAGTTTGCCAGGAAAATATGCATATGTAGTATTTCACATGCCAAATTAAATGCTAGTATAGTTTAAATGATTGTAGTTTATTGAGAAGCTCTTCTGTGTAAGAATGTAGATGAGAACATTCAAATCAATTTGTCATGGGCATACTGTTAAATTGTAGTTTTCTGCATTTTAGTTTTGTGGAGGCATGAAATATATTCATATTTGTCTTAAACAAAACTACCTCTGTAGCTGGAGAGCTTGCTGATTCTAAAACTGCCAGCATCTCATGTCAGCAGCTTTCTCTCTTTCTGACAGCAGATTTCCATCTGAAAACTTATTCAGAAGCAATGGGAAAACAGTCTTGCTGTGATTCTCTCCCCCATTTAAATAGTATATAATATTATCATCAACATAAACTTTGATTGCATACATATATTATGGTTCCCAGAAAAATAACTGCCTAAGCAGGTGGACTGTAACACCACGTTAGCGAGAGGTTTGATTTTTGTTGTTTTCTAGATGAGTTTACTGAATCTGTTTTCTGCTGTTGGATTTGCATTCTGCCTTCCATTCGGGTTTCATGTTGGTCTCTGTGTTCTGTAGGCTGAAGCTCGTCTCCTCGAGGAGCAGCGTAGAGTTCAGGTATATCTCCATGAGAGCACACAAGATGAGTTAGCACGAAAATGCGAGCAAGTACTTATTGAAAAACATCTGGAGATATTTCATACAGAGTTTCAGAATTTGTTGGATGCTGACAAAAACGAAGGTAAGGAGATCCAAACATTGGGTTTAGGCTTGGAGCTTTCATCCCTGGTGACACGTGAATAATGTAAAATCGGGTGGTAGCTAAATGTGATTTGTTCAGGAAGTAGATTAAGAGAGAAAATAGACATGAAACTGATTGACGAGCAGCTTTTGATTAAATTGGGATGGCTGAGGATGTTGCTTCAAAGAGCCTATTCCAATCCCAAACATTAAGGTAAAACAGCACTAGTTTGATTTCTGTTAACATGGCTGGAAGAGTGTCAAGAGCACTTGAGCCATCCTTCCAGTAAGAGGGAACTTGTGTGAGAGAGATGTGAACTGGAAAACAGACCAGTACTACTTCCAGCTCTTTCAGTTTAATCCATGAATCTTTCTGAATCAGCAGTGAGAATTTTAAAGTCCAAGCTGTATAGAAGTATGTATAGGAAACATTAAAGGAGGAATAGAAGCAAACAAGTAACTTTTGAAATAGAGTCCATAAAGCTGCATATAGAGCACAAGGAAATGGTGGAAATTATTAATTGAGAAGTTAATTTTAGCTGTGAAAATGAGTTTTAAGTGTTACTAATGGATCAAATTTATACCTTCATAGAGAATATATAGAATAAAGAATTCTTCAGCAGTTCTTCTAAAATAAGTGAAGATTATCTAACAGTTTTGGTAGCTTTAGGGAATTGTCAATTGTACTGTTTTTTATGAGTTTCTTCAGGAGTTAATTCATAGCACAAAATAACATTCATAACTAGGGCCAGGTAATTCCTGTGGGTTGTACAGGTGATAAGAATGAATGATGTTTCTGATTTTTCAGTTGAGGAATTTAATTAAATCTGTATTTGAAGTCAGAATAAGGCTCTGCAGCTGAAATACTGCTTTTAGGGCAGTGACAGAATTTAAGACGTGCTGTGATTAAGTTACTAACGATGATACTCATTTGCAAGCTTTGGATTGCAACTATGACTGTCTTGTTATGTATCAGTCTTAAAATAGCAGCTATGAATAATTACTATAATAATCATGTTGATAACTGAGAGATGCTTCAAAATAGAAAAGGACAACTCAGTGTGGTTAGTATGTCAGAAGTTACCTGATTCAAATGTAAGTATCCTGTAGTAGTATTTAAGAGTCAGATGTTGTTATGTTTGTAAATATTGGCGGAAATTTTGAAATTACTTTATAAATAGCTCCTGACAGTGGATATAGTAATAGAACAAGCCCAGGCTTTTCTCTTTGTCAAGCTCACAGGTTATATGAGCCTTTAATCTAGTTACTTACCATAGTGATGCAGTTCCATGAGTTTGTCAGGGTGAAAAAAGGAAAAGAAGCATCTTTTGTCTTTGCACTGTCTTGTTATATGTCTATTTCTGCTTTCTTTGGGGTTATTTCTAAGATTAATTAGGTTTTTTAAAACACTTGATTTTTTCTTTTTTTTCACAATATTTTCTTTTATTGAGCTTCATTTGTGCAAATTACAGTAGTTTCCTGGCCCTTTATAAGTTTCATGAAGTCACAGGGTTAGAAACATTTATTTTGAAAGACTGATAATTCATACTTTAATCACTATAAACAGTTCATTCTCAAATTTGTGATATACGAACATAGCCTTTTGTAGACTGTCCTAAAGTTCTAATAAAATCTTGCTCTCAATTGAAATCTTTATTGCTTTGCTATTGAAAATATACTGGTTTTGAGGTCCTCCCCTGTGAACTCTGCTTACGCAGATCATATTACAGGCCACTCCTGTTGGTGTCCTCTAACTTTTTAATTGCATTGTGCAACTAGTTCTAAAGGTTGTGGAGCACATTTGTCATGCGTTACCTATTCATATGAGTATGGTACCTACAGGAAATAATTACGTTTATTGGGAGCAAGCTGTAATGATGTAGGTGGAGTTAGCATGTAAATCATCTTTAAGGATTTGTAGCATCACTTCCTTATTTCACCCAATACAGACATCCTGATAGACCAACCTATGAACCCTTGCTCATGGGTAGATTTAGCAGCAGCTTTTATATCTATACATGGCATTAATTTCCTACCTTTTCCCTAAAATTCTGTAGGGTACTCTTATGTTCTTATAAAAGTTAACATCAGGTTGCAAATGTGGTTTTCATAGAGAGAAAAAGGTTTCCTGTTCAAATCCAAAAGTTTAAGCTTGGTAAAGTCCTAAGGAATGTAAAGTGTTATACACAATCTGATGTGAATTGAGGTGTGTCACTTTAGTACTAGAAGTCATCCAACTTCATGTGTTGTATTTCAGAGGGAGGTAGAGATTCAGCTCCTTGATTGCTCTGTTTTGTTTAATCTGATAATCCTCAGGTGGTAATAAATTGCTCATAAGCCCTTCAGAGAAGTCCTTACACTTTAGAAGAGCTAGATGCAGCTGACAACCTTAAGATGGATTCAACAAGGTGAAATATCCTAATTAGTTTACAGTAAATAATTTGCTTGTTTACTGTTTCACTTGAGTGCCTGTTCAGTGAGGGCAAGATTGCAAGAGGTAACTAGTGGGTTTCTGTACCTGTTTTATGGCCATATTAAAGTTAGCCTTCTTTCTTTTTTAAAGAGTTCAGCACTCAAAGTACAAAGCATCTGCCCTGCTGAAACTGAATAATAAAAACAGAACTCTCTTCAGTATTAGACTTGCCAAAATCACTAATTGATTTGGAAAGTCTTGGCTGAAAACTGGTGAGATTTTAATATAAAGCTTTAACCTATGTGAAATGACATCCAGTTTATTTTTACCTTGACTAGTTTTGTTCCATGGCAATGTTTTTCATAATCCCTTTTTTTTATTTTCAGGTACAATTATTTCTACAGGTCATAAGTTACTTAAACTTTTTTTTTGAGATCTTTTATCACCAAGGAAGTTTGATTTATAAGGTTTCAGTTTATCTGCTAGGGTCATATCAATACATAACATTTTGCCTTAAATTTCCAACCATTAGTACTGATGCTGCCCCAAGTGAAGTGTTAATATATAAAGGGCTAAAGCTAATGTTAGAGAACTGTCCTGTTCAGAATAAGATTTAAAGGACAGTGATCAGCTGTAGAATGCAGTACTCGTAGCACAGCCAGCAGTAGCACTAATAACAGTCCCTAATTCATGGTAGTGCTTTCAAATTTCATCTAAATAAGAGGGTTTTAGCTCCATTTTTGTATCATTGCTCCTCTTTAAATTTACAAAAACTAGAAGTCAGAGGTAAATATATTTCTGTCATTCAAGTGGAGTTTTTTTTAGTCTTGAGATTTATGTTGCACTGTGAAGTGAAACAGATCTTAATGTTAACAAGTTGTTCTCTCTTTAGTTTTAGCTTTCCACGAGTGCAAAGGTTTACTGTATAATTTGTTACTGTACAGATGGGAGATGTTAGTTTTCCTGTTTTGTTTTTGCCTTTTTCAGACTTGGGACGCATGTATAACCTTGTATCTCGAATCCAGGATGGCCTTGGAGAGCTGAAAAAACTCTTGGAAACCCACATTCATAATCAGGGTCTAGCTGCAATTGAGAAATGTGGAGAAGCTGCTCTAAATGCAAGTATCCCATCAAGATAAACCTGTGTGTGATTGTTGCCAGTTTCACATTAGAGGAGGGTGAATGCTTCCTGATAAAATTTCCAGTTTGCTTATGTTTCCCTCTCACTAATTTAATTCATAAGGACTAGCCAATTCTGAAATGTTGATAGTAAGCTTAAAACACAGTTACGTCACTTTGTTACTACTCTTTGAACCTTGGGGGTTTTGGGGGGTGTTTCTTGGTTTGGGGAGTGTCATGCAGCTTGGAAAGTTGGCTGTGCAAATACAACATCCAGCACTTAGAATACAAGTACACCTGAAAGTCCACTGTTTCAAGAATTATCTCCAGTATTTTTTATCATCATCTTAGGGAATTCTGATTTGGATGGGACCATCTGGAAAAAGTTTATGTTGGTTTGAGATTTTTTGGTAAATGGCCTTATTCTGTTTGGAAAAGCACAATATAAGGGGGTAGGTCAGGTCTTCTGAAACACTGTTGTCTTTAGCCACGTAATTGGCTTTTTAGATTTTTATCCCATAATTGTAATGTCAGACGTAATTTTGTAATGATTAGGGATGCATCTCAGCAACATGAAGTTGTTTAAACCCTTTGCTGACTTTTTTGTCTATAGACAATACAGTATTTTCCAGGAAAAAAATAGAATTAAACATTGCACAAAGAGAAATCAGGATAGAATATAGATTCTGGTAAATTTTATTTAAAGTGGAATTCAAGAAGCACTTGGACAGTGCTCTCAGGCATTGTCACTGATGATCACATCATCAGTGTGATTCTCGGAGTGGTCCTGTGCAGGGCCAGGAGTTGGACTTAGATGATCCTTGTGGGTCCCTTCCCACTCAGGATATTCTATGATTTGAGATTAACTTTGATTTTTGACAAAGTTCATTTTAGCCTGTTTTCCTCAGAAATTCTTGAAATAGCTTCATACTAGTAATCTTTTTTAGCAGTAATCTGTAATGATGTGTGTTAGTGTCTGTTGTTCACTTCTTTAGTTTTAAGTGTACACACAGCTTTTTAGCAGTGTTGCTCTTTTAGGAATCATGGATTAATTGCAAAGCAAGTTCAGGAGTCTTCAGGTTCATTTGCAGATGTTACCTTAAATTTTGAAGTCCAGTGTGTTCTGTGCTTGACATATCCCCCTAGTGGTCATCACCCTTGAGGGTTTTTTTCTGCTTAGGCCTTGAAGAATTTACCAGAAAAAAAATGAAAGCTCATTCTCCAGCAATTAGTTCCTCTTTGAGAGAGGGGAGGCCCAGGATTTGTATGTATTAGTTCTTTTGACTCTGTTTACAAAACCCTTCCTGCTTATTACACTTTATTGTTTTTTCATCTTTATCTTTTGTTCCTTTTCTTATTCCACACATTTGTTCTTCATTTTCACTACAGTATCACTGGTTGTTTCCCTTAAGGACCATCTTGCCTCTGTTTCCAATATCCCTCACACCACTGCATCACTGTTCATCATTGCTTGTTAGCTCACTGTCACACTTGGGTAGAATTGATTCTGCCTGACTTCAATTACCTGTACTGTTTTTAAACAGAGAATCAGCTGAGCAATTGTTTCTCAGTTTCTCTGTAGTCAGTGTAGAGAAATAGTCATACTAGCTTGACTCATCTCACCTATTTCAAATTTTTACTGCAGAATGACTTGTACTCTAGTCTCTGTTAGCTGTATTAACAAGATTGTTCTTCAGTCAGAAGATTGCTGCTTTTTGTGCCTTTGGTTATTATTTTTTTTGAGTCCTTGTAATCAGTAGATGCTTTTCTGAATGTCCTTCAAATCAACTTGAATTTCTTGCCCGTGAGGTTCACAATAATATCAGTTCTTTATCTCAAGCACAGCATTAGATCAGTGGTCCACATTGTATTCAGTGGCAACAGCAAGTGTTTTTCAGGATCCTGATAAAACCCTGCCCGTATTCTGCCATTTCATGCCACCATCCAGAACTCTTACAAGAGTTACCTCCATGCCTGGTCAAACATGCTAATCTGCTTCCAATAACCTTCTGTGGCACAAGTTCTAGAAGTCCACTGCCTTATATGCAAAGATGGTCTTTATCTGTCTTTAAATTGTTTCCTATCACTTTTATCAAATGCCCAATAGTTACAAAATGTGACTTTTAGTGATAATTCAACTTCTCAGTCATACTCCATTCAAACTTCTGATCTTCAAATTGAAGACTTCTGGCCTTTTTAGTCTGTAGTATAGTAGCTGTCCTATATGCCTGGTGTTTTACTTGCCCATCATTGTCTCTGCTCTGACTCAACTCCATATTTATTGAGATGCAAAGATCAGTAATTGCACATAGGACTCAGTCTGTGAGTATCATGAACTCAATACTTATTGGCATTTGGCTGCCACTGGGTGTTGAGCAGGTAATTTTTAAAAACTGCCAGTGACTGAGGTCTCTGTACTAAGTTTGCCTGTTTGATATAAACCTGTTACATTCTTACTACAGACATTTCTTTCGAGAGGTTTTTTTTCTATAGCAGTTGCCAGTTTGATTGTCAAGCTCTCTCAGATCTGATTCAAATTAAATCTTTGAAAATGTTTGCAGTAAATGGTTTTGTTGTCTTTTGGACTATATAATGTAGTACACTCTAGTTGCTGGAAATTAAAGCTTGTGCTAATATAAGTCAGTCCTGGACACAGGACCTGAACTATTCTGGGTACTATTTTATCTTTGAAATATTTCTAATACTTTGTAGACATTTCCCATAGAAGTTTGCTTGGGCCCATGAGTACCTCCATTTTGGAGGAAATAGAAAGCTGAAAGTCAACAGGTTGCAAAAATCCAATCTCTCTTTATTGCAGGATCCAAAAACATATGTACAGACAGTGTTGGATGTCCATAAGAAATACAATGCTTTAGTCATGTCTGCATTCAACAACGATGCTGGATTTGTGGCTGCGTTAGACAAAGTGAGTGTATGCAGTGGCATACAGTGAACTTCCTTTTATTTCTGTTCAGTGTTTTGTTTCCCAAAATTTCACTGTCATTTTTGTTTATAGGCTTGTGGTCGATTTATAAATAATAATGCAGTGACAAAAATGGCTCAATCATCTAGTAAATCTCCAGAGCTACTGGCACGATACTGTGACTCTTTACTAAAGAAAAGGTATGTTTTCAAAGAGAAATTATTGCTTCATGTTGGCTTTTGTTTTAAAAGCTTTTAGCATATGAAGTTTTATGTTGTGTCTTCAGAAAGAGAATGTTTCATGAAAAACTAATTATACCAAATTCTGGATACAAAAACCTCAGTAGGACCGTGTTGAGTTTACTTTTAAGGAGGGTGGGGGGGGGGGGGAATAAGAGAACCTTTCTTTCCTTATAGGAAGTTAAGTTCTGTTTTTTTAATAAAACAGAAGGGGAGTTTTAGGTGTTCTTATCCCCAAAAAAAATTTAAGGTATGTTGTGGAGAAGAGATGCACATTCCCTTCTTCCATTAAAACACTTGCTTTCTTCCTGTTGTTTTCTCTGTACCTTCTTCCATCTGTGCTGAAATTGAGTGGGCCAAAAACTGCTTTGTAACCTCTCATGTTTCATATTTTATTTCAAGGTATTTGGCTTCAAATGATTCAGCAACTGATAGACTGAGTTGTTTATCTGTTCAGTTCATACTGGATTGGTGTCAGTTTTGTAACTGGCAACATTTTTAGTTGTTTTGGGAAAGGAAGAAAACCACCAAACAACCCAAAAAATGGAAGAATTTGCTCACTTTTCCCTTTCTATCCCCTCCTTCCTTCATCAAAGGATTTATTTTCTCCTTTATAAACACTAGCTTTCTGCAGGGTAGATTTAGGGTGTGCCTGATGGACAAGCATGACATGGAGGAAAACAATGTGCTGCCACCTGAGCTTTCACCCAGTCAAGTCCCAGCTCTGTGAGCTCTTTTCTTCTCACTGTACTATCGAGATAAGAAATAAATATAACATTTAGCAGTAGGGAGAGAGAGAGCCATGTTTAAGCCCATAAATCCTGAGAAGTTATCAGGCTATCAAGAAATCCCAAGTGACTCATGGTCCAGGACATCAGCCTGTAACAATTGTGTACTTCAGAATTGCTTACATGTGGTATAGTGAAATGTTCACAACATTGTTTCCTCTTTAGAGAGTCTTTAATCCCAGAACTACTCAAATCTGTGTTCCTCTCTATTTATGAAGTTTCCATATACATCCATATGTTGGTTTAATTCTGCTCGTTTGGTACTCATTAAAAATGCACTTCTTTAATTGCAGCTCAAAGAATCCAGAAGAAGCAGAATTGGAGGATACACTCAATCAAGTGGTAAGATGTCTATAAATACAGTTCTCTTCTGTGTAAGCTTTGACAAATTAGTAATACTTGATTGTCACACAAGGCAGATAAGAAAAAAATTGAGTTTGTGTATTTGATTTCATTACTTAGTATTTCAGCATTTCAGTAATACTAATCTGTTTGGCTTTTTAAAAATTACTTAGTTTATTAAAAAAAAGCCCTTTACAGCAGATTTAAAGTAGTTATATTGAATTTATGCTTTTACTTCGTTTTTATATACATATAATATGTATAGCTTCTACAGTATATTTTTATAGCATTGCACATACACAGTATGTATTTATTCATATATATATATGTAAAAGGCTGTACGTGTGGAATATACAGTTAATGTGTTTAAAATAGTATCCACATTTAAAACAAACACATGCCACCACTCCCTTCCCCTCACCCCCCCAAAAAGGCCAAACAAAACCCCCGACCCCAAAAATTCAGATGCAAATGAAGTAGCTACTGCTACTGCTTTTTCAAGACAAATGTTTAAATAGTTTTTCCTTACGAATTATCTTGGCTTTTCCAGATGGTTGTCTTCAAATACATTGAGGATAAAGATGTGTTTCAAAAATTCTATGCTAAAATGCTGGCAAAGAGACTTGTACATCAGAACAGTGCTAGTGATGATGCTGAGGCAAGCATGATCTCTAAACTAAAAGTGAGTATTCCATGACTGTCCCGTGATCTACAGCCTTGAAGGTCTTCAGACTGTTTTGGAAAGCACTGATGTATGTCCTTTCATTTCTTTATTTTGTGTACAACAGAAAAGTATACAACGTAGGCCTTTCTCTTTTCTTTTTAATCATAGGAGCTCACAGTGCATGTCTGTCTGATGGAGTTAAACTTAATTATTCTAATCCAAATGAATGTCACGAATATAATTATTCAAGGGAATGACTACTGAAAAGTTGCTTAATTTCATTAACACTTGTTCATGCAGAGTCAAACAAAATATGATCTAATATCCATTTGATAGTCTGTTTCACTGTGTGTTTTACTTCATTTTGAACAATATTTTCTTCAGTTTTTGATGACAGATAAAGAGTATGTCTAGTTGGGATCAGTACTTCGAGTAAGGGAAGTACAGAACTTTGTACATATTCTTTTAAGGAAATAAGTGCTGATACTTTGTTCTTGTTGTTATCCAATGTCAGAAATATGTCTTCCTGATGTATCTGTGCTTTTTAAAATACAGCAAGCCTGTGGTTTTGAGTATACTTCCAAGCTGCAGCGGATGTTCCAAGATATTGGTGTAAGCAAGGATCTGAATGAGCAATTTAAAAAGCACCTGACCAATTCAGAACCATTAGATTGTAAGTAATGCATTTACCTGAGATACTGTTGTGTAGTTTAGCTTCCTATTATTCCTACAGAACTAACTGTATGAAGGAAATGTTTGACTTAAACATATACTGCCAGAAGTCAGTGTTCTTTTGACCAAGATAGCTAGGATAGGATTTTTAAATGAGTCTTTTAGGTTTGTCCTTTGTCTTCTAACAGCACTTTATTTCATTTGTGGGTTAGCCTTGTCATGATTTTGCAGCTCATGTTTAGGTATAGAATCATAGAATCAACTGGGTTGGAAAAGACCTCAAAGATCATCAAGTCCAGCCCTACCATCCTTACTAGACCATGGCACTAAGTATCACATCCAGTCTCATCTTGAAAACCTCCAGGGATGGTGAATCCACCACCTCCCCAGGCAGCCCATTCCAGTGTCTGATTACTCTTTCCGTAAAAAATCTCTTCCTAATATCCAACCTAAACCTCCCCTGGCAGAGCTTGAGTCTGTGCCCTCTTGTCCTACTGCTAGTTGCCTAGGAGAAGAGACCAACCCCCACCTGACTCCGACCTCCTCTCAGGGAGTTGT